AAAAAATTACCCTTGAAAACAATTTTTTTTTTTTTGACAAAATAAAAAGTATAGACAAAAACCTTCTTCGTCTCCCAATGTCTCGACCCTTGGGCGTGATGAGGCAGACTCCCACACATTAAGAAATCAGCAGCAAATATCCCGCGAGCCCAATGAAATGAATTCGATCTTGAGAAAAGGGGCTCGATAAGATTACAATGCCGTGAGGCTTTACATGGTAAACACAAGCGGTAAAAATTTAAAGAATTTACCTAACTTGTATTTTAAGAATATAAGTTAAAAATTTTAAAAAAATAAAAAATAATATTTCATTTATTAATTACTTAATTAAATAAATTTATAGAATAATAATATTAAAATTAATATTTATTTTAATAATTTTTTATTATAAAAAATATATTTATTATATTATTATTCTTTACCCTTAATATACAAAATAAAAAGTTTCAAAATTTAATATCCACATGGTCACATGTTGTTAAATTTTTTTTTTTTTGAACAAATTCATAAGGACCGAAATCAAACCGTTGTCTTGAGATGGGAGAATGCACTTATACGTTACCTGACGTCACTGAACCGAAGCTTCAAGTGCACATGTTGTTAAATTTTTAGTGAAGTCAAGCAAAAAATTATTTATCACTGTTCATTGCATAAAAAAGTAGCAATAATGTGGCAGAGTATAGATGTCTTCTGGGACCTACTGATCCACGTGGTAAAGACTAAGACTTAGAACTTCAAGTTAACGGCAATGATAACTTCGTCAAATGGAATTGTCCACACTCGAGGCGTTTTTAAATTTTAAGTCTAAGTCAAGCGGAAAGTCATTAGTCACCTTTTATGTATAAAAATTAAGTAAATAAATTTTATGTTAAATTTTTAAATTTATTTTATATTTTTAGATTTTTATTAAAATAAATAAATTTTTAAATTTATTATTTTTTATAACAAATTTAATATTTATTTTTATTATATTTAGATGAACAAAATTACTATTCATTATATAAGTAATCATATATTGGGATTTTATTTATTTAAGCGATGTACAAACATAT